GGGGGGGGGGGGGTTGTAATTAGCATCTAAATTGCAATAGTTTTTTAATACCAAGTCTGGCTCAAAATTTTTCTCATGACAATTATACGACCTAATAGAAAAATGAAAACATCACATAAAGCAACTGATTTGTAAAAGGAACCAAGAGGCATTGCATCTAATATCTGTCATCAGCATTTTAACGGACGGAAAGTCTTTTACCAAAAAAGTTGGGTTGCTACTTGCTAGTATGCTACGAACGCAAATTCTCAGAAATTGCGCATTGATTTCACGTGTCGAGTAACAAAATATGAAGTAAATGCGATATAATTGCTTACGATCACGGCTGACATGCTTGAAATTCCTATACTCTGTGCCATGAGAGGACGTTTCTGAATCTGAAAATGACATTATTCTCTATGCAAATTATGTTCTATGAATTTTTCGAACATGCAGAATGAAAGAATTGAATTGAATTGGAAGTTTTCTGAGGAAGAGAGAACGAGACGTAGATAGAAAGTGGAGGGAGAAAAATGTGGGAGGGTGCGTTTTTCAAGGGGAGACTCGAAAGAAAGAGTCGTTAAAACTTCGTGGGGACGCACAAAGAGCTCTAACGGTGGTTTCTTTCTAAATTTCTCTTTCTCGTCCTTCAATTCTTTCTTATTTCTACTTATTCCTCCCTTCTTTTCCTTTTCGTACACAATAAGTATTATTGTACTTATTACTCCCTCCGTTCCAATTTATGTGAACCTATTTTCTTTTTGGTCCGTTTCAAAAAGAATGACCCCTTTCTAAATTTGGAAATAATTTAGCTTAAATTCCCAATTCTACCCTTAGTGAGAAGCTTTTATAACCACACAAATATTGTGGACCCCTTTTTGAGTTGTTTTGGACCACAAGTTTCAAAAGTTTTCATTTTTTCTTAAACTCCGTGCCCAGTCAAACAGGTTCAGATACCATATTCCTTATTCGTTCAATACCAAAATCTCCATATTCCTTATTCATTGGCAGCCAATTTATTCCCCAAAATGTTTTAAGTACTTTGCAAATCATTCATTTGTTGGAATAATGATGATGAGTAATGATCCCACCCAACTATGCCTTATAAATAAGGACTAAGCGGTCGCTGCAAATATAATCCGGTTTACAAGTCCGGAGTCGAATCTCATAGAGAAATAAGGCTTAGCTACAGCTGTTCAATATTGCCAAGAAACACAAGTCCAAACAATTTCCTAATTATAAAGATTATAATATTTATTTTTATCTAATCAACTAACAAATACTAGAAAGCAGTAAAACTATCAATTAACAAGGATAATGATTGAGACAAGATTAAGGAGGTCTAGAGTTATGATTTCCCCTATTGTCGAAATCCTTTCCGCTACGCTTTCTATAAATTTGCCTAAGTTTTCTCTACCGATCATGAGCACTCTGACTGTCGTAACTCTGTCCCGAGTAATTACCACAATTTACTAGACATATTCTCCCGAATTACGCTAGCTGTCATTAAGTACGGCTCACTCGGATCGCATCAAGGTTTCGTTATCCATAATCCCACATTTAAACCCTCCGTATTGATCCATCATATACGTTAGGAGTGATGTTGTTCAACAACTACCTAAATATGCATTCTCTCTCGAGTAATACACACTAAATAGGCATAGTCGATTGAGAGCTCTTCAACCAACCACAACAATAACGTAGTTGAACAAATAAAGAAAAAGCTAACGTAACAGGAAAATCATCCTCCAATAGGTTCCATCAATACCCTAGATAATAAATTAGCTATTCATAATAGTATGCAAAACTACAATACTAGAATTCAGAACCAATAATGGAAATAGGAAGAAGGAAGTGAAAAACTCGTAGAAGAATTCTCCTCCTTGCTCCTAGTGTGTTCTTGCCTCCTTAGGTCGAATCTCTAGTCTAATGTCGGTCTCCCTGTCCAATCACTGTCTCTCCGTCCAAATTGGTGTTTAATGACTATTTATATGTGTAGGAAAAAAACCTAGACGAAATAACCAAGTCCAAAACAAAAAAAGAGACAAAATAGGCCTGAAACCCGGAACATGCATTGCCTCGCGTTAGGCCTGGCCTTACTTGAAAGATAATCATCAATAAGGCTCTTGTAGGCTCTGAAGTTTGTTCCCCTCTCTCAAGTATTCTCCTCTGGAACTTTTAAGGAACTAAGAATACCACAGAAGAAGAAGCATGTATCCATGGATTAAAGACTGCCTTGACCGTAGGAATATAAGAAATCGAAGTATTTAGGGATTCGACGCTTATCATCTACCAAACTATCACATCCCTACCATTTCACCAAGAACTCTTGGTGATCTTTCCTTGAGGCGTGAATCACTCGATCAATGAGAATAGCTTCAACACGCCTTTTCCCAGTTGAATTGGGGCCTCAAATACTGGGTATTGTGAGTTGGCTCCGTGAAGGATCCTCCATGTCTTCCCAAAAAGGTTTCAAAAGACTTACATGGAAGACGGGATGAATTTTCCACCAAGCTGGGGTATCCACCCGGTATGCAACTTTCCCAATTCGTCTTTCAATGGACAAGGGTNTCCATCATATACGTTAGGAGTGATGTTGTTCAACAACTACCTAAATATGCATTCTCTCTCGAGTAATACACACTAAATAGGCATAGTCGATTGAGAGCTCTTCAACCAACCACAACAATAACGTAGTTGAACAAATAAAGAAAAAGCTAACGTAACAGGAAAATCATCCTCCAATAGGTTCCATCAATACCCTAGATAATAAATTAGCTATTCATAATAGTATGCAAAACTACAATACTAGAATTCAGAACCAATAATGGAAATAGGAAGAAGGAAGTGAAAAACTCGTAGAAGAATTCTCCTCCTTGCTCCTAGTGTGTTCTTGCCTCCTTAGGTCGAATCTCTAGTCTAATGTCGGTCTCCCTGTCCAATCACTGTCTCTCCGTCCAAATTGGTGTTTAATGACTATTTATATGTGTAGGAAAAAAACCTAGACGAAATAACCAAGTCCAAAACAAAAAAAGAGACAAAATAGGCCTGAAACCCGGAACATGCATTGCCTCGCGTTAGGCCTGGCGACGCGAGCTCTAACGCGAGCAATGAGTCTCGCGTCCCCTGGAAGGCTGACTTTGATTTGCAATTTTGATTTCTGCCTAACTTTTCAATTTCACTTCCTTTGCTTTCCAATTGTTCTCACGTCATTTCCTTGTCATCTTAATTGTTGTATCATTAGATCATCATAAGCCCATTGTTTTAGTACATGAATTACATTTTAAATATTTACTTTGCTTCAATTTTATCTCCAATGTACTTACACATAAAATAAGTTCAATTAAACATAAATATAGTATAGTTTAGCATGAAAGTACTTAAAATATAACTTAAATAATGTACTAAAATATGGAATATAGCCGAACATCAAATAACTTCTAAGTTCTTGACAATTAAAAATTGAGTTTTCGATAATATTTTATTGATGTGCAACGGTAAAAACTGAAGATCTCAATTTACTTAAGTACTAAGCAAAAATATAATAAACTATTAAAAATGTTATTTTGAGTTTAAAGTGATGCGGTGAGTGTAATTGTGAAAATTGGGGCCATTTTTCATATATATACATTTTTGGAAGTTGAAAAAAAAAATCTATGCATATAAGTAAGTAATTTATATTTGATACCCATAACTTTAGACTTGGCATGTTAGGTACTCCAACAAACTGCTACTGGCGACCGACTAATCGTGCATTATCAACTCAATTCGACATACCTAGATTATTTTCTTTTTTGTGCTTAATAAATTCCACTCCCTTAATCTCGCTGTTTTTATGTTTTGATGTTTTATTCTTTACCTTGTACCAAATATTCATTGTTCAATATTTTGGCTAGGGGAGTACATAGGTTGTATTGGTTCGAATTTTTCGATTACCAAACCAAATTAACGATGTCGGGTTTTTAAATCTATAGACCATACCAAACTAACAAAGTCGGTTTTATCAATCTCGGTTTCTCTGGTTTTTCGATTTTTTTTTCAGGTTTTCGGATTTTTTTCCCGGTAAAGCCTTTATAACACAAAATATGTAACTTGGGCTCCAAATATTTCTTTAGTCCTAGTAAGATTACAACTATATAATGTATTTTTCAAGAAAATAACACAATAATATGAGATAAGTCATAGCATTATATTAAAATAATCTAATAACAAATATAATAAAATTGCATAAAGCAAATATGGCTAATTAATTAGCCATAATAAAAATTAACATAATCTAAAAATACTATCTAGGTCATGCTAAAATAAGTATAGCTAATAAGCACTATTAATTACATAACTAAGCATTTAAACAAAAGATAAACTAAGTTATGCATTTTCATTATAAACCAATGTAAAACTAAAAAGTAGATATCCAACACTATCATCATTCTAGTGTTGAATTGAATTTCTTTTGTTAGCAGTAGTATTAATTTGAACTTTGTTGGAGTTACTACATTTTGTTGGAATTGAAAAATCGATACACAAAGTGTTGAAATTGGGAGAACAACAGACGAGAGGAAAAGAGACGAAAGAGAAAAAGTTCTCGATTGTAACTATGTTCAGACAATTGGGAAAGTACAATCTTATGGTCAATCTGATTCTAGGATGTGTGGAGCAGCTTGGACCGTTAGATCAATTTATGATGGATTAAATAAGAGCTGTCCAATCAACTTTTGAGATTCAAAGAGCAATCCATGTGGACAAATCAAGACCATCAATTGGAACCTGATGGATTCAATCACACCCGTCCAGCTGGGATACAATAGCCAACATATAAATTTGGTATTGTACATAAGATAGTACATGAGCTGTAAATAGTACATTAGTATATACAATTAATTTGGAAGCTAGTATAGGACTAATCAAATAGGAGACACATGTATTATATTTTATATTTTTCTTTATTGCAAATACATGTATATATACACATTGTTCATCAATGACAAAGACACAGGAAATTCCTCAAAGTTTCAGTCATTCTTTCCTAACATTTTTCTACATGGTATCAGAGCAGCTCTAAAAGATCTTGCTCACATCAGTCGATTCCTTTCTTCATCTTCTTGTTCATAATCTCCCGGAACCTCAAATTTTCAAATGGGATCAACTTCAGATGTCTCCTCTACAAACACTAACACTGTCCCTGACCACATCCACCCCTATTTTCTTCATGCTTCAGATTCACCAGGCATAAATCTGGTGAACTCATGCTTCGATGGAAAGGGATATGGGGTTGGAGAAGATTCACTTTAATTACACTCTCAGCAAAGAACAAAGTGGGATTTATTGATAACTAGCCCATGGATCTCCTGACTTAAAGTTGTAGAGCAGATGTAATGATATGGTCATATCATGGCTCCTCAACTCATTGTCCAAGAAAATAGCAAGTAGTGTTATTTACTTAAAAACAGCAAGAGATCTATGGAAGGAGCTTGAAGACAGATTTGGGCAATCAAATGGAGCTAAGTTGTACCACCTGCAAAAAGAGCTAAATGATTTAGTGCAGGGGTCAA